GGGGGAGGAGGGAGGCAGAGATACATAATAAAGCTAGAAAAGCCCCTGGCATGGAGATGCTCCAAGATAGGAGCAGAGAAGGTGACAGGGAAGCAGCCAGGGCTAGAAATGACAGTGTGGCCCAGGAGTTGTGTGGCTCACCTAGCCTCTGTCACCTGGCTGGGGCGTGGCCAAGGCAGCAGCAGGACCCAAGGTTCCTGTCGCCCCATCTAGAGCTCATTCGCCTCCTCCACACTCCTCCCCCTCCCCAGGTGACTCGTGTTTCTCTGGAGAACCTGGGTCTACTAGTGACTATTTGGGATGAAGGTGGTTCTTTTCTATTTGGTTAACTGAGGAGCCCGCCTCTTCAGAAACACAGAGATTTCTGGGGTTAGTGTTCTTTTTATTGTTGGTTTCTCTTTTCTTAAAAAATTTTTTTTTAATTATTAATTTTAGGAGGGGGGAGGGAAATAGAAACATCAATCTATTGTTTTACTTATTTATGCATTCATTGGTTGTTTCTTGTATGTGCCCTGACTGGAGATCGAACCCGGAACCTTGGTGTATCTGGATGATGCTCTAACTAACTGAGCTACTCATCCAGGGATGGTTTTTCTTTTTTTAAGATAAATATTCTTTGTTATTAGGATGTAGATTTTTATGAAACAACAAAAACCAAAAACATCTGCCCCAAAGCTTCTAGGTAATATTAGCCACTGGCTCCTACTAAATGCTTTTTCTTCTTTTATGAAAAAAATATAGTGTTCAAGAGCTTCTCTGCCCATTACCAGAGAGGAAAACAGTCTTATTGTTAGCAGGTTAAAGGAAACAAACTGGAGACTGAGGGGAAGACAGAGAATCAAAAGAAGACACAGAGACTGAAAAGAAACTGAGAGAATGCTACTTAAACAGCCAGAGTCACAGAGAAGGCGAAACAGACTGAGCAAGGGGCTTATGCTAGGTCACAGCCAGATGCCTCGTTTGGTGCAGCATCCTGGTGATCAACTTTTTTGCAGCTGGAATGTATATAGTAAACTAGATGCCTGGTGCATGAATTTGTGCACAGGTAGGGTCCGACAGGCCCACCCCAATTGGGCCAATTGGGCCGACTGGGCCAGGCCGGCCGGGGGTAGGGGCTGCAGGCAGTTGGTGGGCCAGTCCCACCCCTGCCCCTTGATCGGAGTGGGGGGTCGGGACCAGGGACAGGTCTGGCCAAGGGGAAGGGCCGCAGGCAGTTGCCCACTGGCCCGCCCCTGGTCGAAATCCGGGTTGAACTTCCTGTCAACCTCCCAGTTGAGGGGACAATTTGCATATTAGCCTTTTATTATAAAGAATGACATACTGTGTCCAAGTGCATATTGTGGGCAAGAGAAGAGCTAGAATGTCCCAACACTCCTGGGTTTCCATGAATGAGAACTTTCCCAGCCCCATCTTTGGTTCATACTCTTTTCCCCAATTGTCATTCTACCCCTTCCTTATTGTTATTTTCCCAACTCAAAATCTGGCTTAAGACCCAACTTTTCCATAAAACCTACCCTGGCCATCCCAAACTGAAGTTCTTGCCCCTCCCCTGAATTTCCAAAGCAGTTAATTTATCTACACTTGATTAACTGAATATGCATGACCTTGTATTATCTCTTCTATGAGTTACAGCTTTGTTATTTATGTTTTATTCATGGTTTCACATATTTATGTTTGGCATGTCAAATTAAACTGCAATAACGAATGAATGGCTAACATTTACTGAACAATTACTCTTCTTTAGGCAAGATTCTACACAGATTGTTTCATTGAATCCTCACACCAACCCTACTGTGGCCTCCCCTTTATAAATGCAAAGCCAAGGCCTGGAGGGGTTAACTTTCGCAAGGCCACGTAGATGCTGGATGAATCCAGGTTGTCAGATTTGTGTTGTGCCTGACGCCCAAACCAGGGCCTTGAGGACAGGGGACAGGCCTCCCCTCCTGGACATAGAGTAGCACTCAGTAAATTGTTATGATGGACTTTTATTCAAAGTACCTGGCCCCCATTACCTTTCCTCCCTGCTCCCCAGCCCCTCCATGCCCACCTTGCACACCCAGGCACCAAGCACCGCCTGACCATCCCCCTCTACTTCTGGCTGCCATGTTGTAACTTATTTTTCCAAACTCAGAAGGCTTTCCTGATGTCCATTTTAACCTGACCTCGCCCAACAGTAATACTGAGGAGGGGAGCAGGTGAAGCAGGGCCCCCAGAGTGATCTGTCTGGGCCACTGAGCGCTGGAGAGCCCCAGTCTGGGCCCACCAGGGCTGCATGCTCCCAGCACCCCAGGAGCAGCACCTGCAGGGAGTGCACCTGAAGGCCCAGGTTTGTTTGCTTCCTGGCAGGACGGCTCTGGCTCCAGCTGCAATGCACCAAACCCCTCACTTCCTCACTTCCCCACCTTCTCTCTCCCTCTCTCCTTCCTGTCTTCCTCTTCCTTTCCTCCCCCTCAGACCCTTTCCCACCCTCTTTTGGCTTCTGTTCTCTTTCTTTCCATGAGCAGAGAGTTTCCAGCCTGGCTCCTGGCCAGCGCATTTGGACAAAAGGCAGCAATCTTAGAGAGAGACGTCATCTCCCATCCCCTTTCCTGGGCCGGCACCATGGCTCCCTGAGCCCAGAGAGAAGGGGGCTGAGGCCGCTCCGGCCCTGATCCCAGCTGTGTAAAAGGGCTTGAAAGATGGCATATCGTGGGAGCTAAAAGCAAAGGGTTCGGGAGCAGAGAGACCCAGGTTCGAATTCCAGCTCTGCCACTTGAGAGCTAAGGAACCAGTGGCAAGTTACTCTCTAAGCCTCAGTTCTCTCCTCTGAAAAACAGTGATAATCGTAGCACCTACTTTGAAAGCCAGTGGTGGGATTAAATGAGATTCCACCTGTAAAGCATTCAGCCCAGTGCCTGTCCAATGAAAAACACTCAACACATGTCTTCTGTCCTTATAAAGTGAACTTAACTCTGCCAAGTAATGATATAAGACCTTATCTGAATAATAATAATACCACCTCCTCAACTCATCTGTAAGGCTGCTTACCCAGCTTGAATGGTTTGCAAGTGTGATAAAGCTGTAAAATGCTCTCAAACATATAATTGCTGCCTGGCCAGTGTGGCTCAGTGGTTGAGCATCGACCTATGAATCAGGGGGTCATGCCCGGGTTTCAGGCTTGATCCCCAATAGGGGGCGTGCAGGAGGCAGCCAATCAATGATTCCCTCTCATCACTGATGTTTCTCTCTCTTCCTCCCTTCCTCTCTGAAATCAATAAAAAATATTTTTTAAAAACCATATAATTGTTGTTACAGTATAATCTATAAAAATTGATTTTGAAATTGAGGGGGAGCTGGCCTCCTTTCCTTTCCATAGAAGCCAGGGCACACTCGTGCTCAGCCTCAAGG